ACATAAGAGAAGCCATGTTGGATCAGGCCAGTGGCCCATCCAGTCCAACACTCTGTGTTACACAGTGGCCAAAAACACCAGGTGCCATCAGGAGGTCCAGCAGTGGGGCCAGAGCTCCAGAAGCCCTCCCACTGTTGTCCCCCCCAAGCACCAAGAACACAGAGCATCACCGCCCCTGACATAAGAACATAAGAGAAGCCATGTTGGATCAGGCCAGTGGCCCATCCAGTCCAACACTCTGTGTTACACAGTGGCCAAAAACACCAGGTGCCATCAGGAGGTCCACCAGCAGGGCCAGAGCTCCAGAACCCCTCCCACTGTTGTCCCCCCCAAGCACCAAGAACACAGAGCATCACCGCCCCTGACATAAGAACATAAGAGAAGCCATGTTGGATCAGGCCAGTGGCCCATCCAGTCCAACACTCTTTGTCACACAGCGGCCGAAACCCAGGTGCCATCAGGAGGTCCACCAGTGGGGCCAGAACTCCAGAAGCCCTCCCACTCTTGCCCCCCAAGCACCAAGAAGACAGAGCATCACTGCCCCAGACATAAGAACATGAGAGAAGCCAGGTTGGAACAGGCCAGTGGCCCATCCAGTCCAACACTCTGTGTCACACAGTGGCCAAAACTCAGCGGCCATCAAGAGGTCCACCAGTGGGGCCAGAACTCCAAATGCCCTCATAAGAGAAGCCAGGTTGGATCAGGCCAATGGCCCGTCCAGTCCATCACTCTGTGTCACTGTGGACACACAGTGTAGATCCTTGTGCTGCGCTGGCAGCTGCCGCCAAAGCAACTTTTTTTAAAAAAAAACAACCCTGCACAGCCAATCAAACCTCCGACGGCCAATCAGAAGCCTTGCTGGGCAAAAGCCCCACCTGGCCCCGCCCACTTCCTAGAAACTGTTTGCAGGCTCCCGAAAAAGTGTCGACGAGCGCCCAGGACTCCTGTAATAAAGCTGGGGTCCAGAATGCAAACAACTTTCCATCGGCAAGACATAAATGTATTGCTCTCTAAGCAATATGAAAATAACACTGGAGCACTAACAATGGCTTACCGTTCAGTGGAGGTGACCAGTAAGAAAACTCCCCCACCGAGCACCTGTTGGGCTTCAGGGGGTCCTCAAGGTGCTACTCAGGAGCTTCAATATTTCAAATAACAGGTTGGTAAAGCTCATGTTCTGGCATGTGTCGAGCATTGACTTGCCCCTTATTACATGAATTAATACCAGGTACAGTCTCTCTCCTCTCTAACCGCCCCTCCCCCCAAAAAACCCAAGTTATCAAACATTACCCAGAAGAGATGCATTTTATATAACCTAGAAGCAGAAGAAGAAGAGATTGGATTTCTACCCCGCCCTTCACTACTCGAAGGAGTCTCAGAGCGGCTTACAAACTCCTTTCCCTCCCCACAACAGACACCCTGTGAGGTAGGTGGGGCCGAGAGAGCTCTGACAGAAACTGCTCTTTTTCAAGGACAGCTGTGCCAGAACTATGGCTTGCCCCAAGGTCATCCAGCAGGTGCAAGTGGAGGAGGAGAGGGAATCAAACCTGGTTCTCCCAGGTTAGAGTCCGCGCACTTAGCCACTACACCAAAATGGCGAATTTTTGCTCACAAGATTCCACAGCTTAGAGGGAACATTGCCTGTGAGGTAGGTGGGGCCGAGAGAGCTCTGACAGAAACGGCTCTTTTTCAAGGACAGCTGTGCCAGAACTATGGCTTGCCCAAGGTCACACCAGCAGCTGCAAGTGGAGGAGGGGGGAATCAAACCCGGTTCTCCCAGATTAGAGACCGCACACTTAACCACGACACCAAACCTATTGCAACTTCATTAGTATGCTTCCCCCCCCTACAGTGTGATCCTCGGTCCAGAAAGTGGGGGGGGGGGGAACAAAATCAAAGTGAGAAGTTCCATAGACCACAGCTGTGTCCCCTCTAAATTCTCGACAGCTAACACTGCACTCAAAATATATTCGGCAGCAGAGACTTTTAAAGAAAAAATACCAAGATATGGAAATGACATTTATAGTTGGGAGGGGGAAGCAGCCAGCAATATGGGCCAGGTCAATGCCAGGTCAATGCGCAGACACGTTTTTACCTACCTGGTATTTCAAATCTCATCCCGCTCTGGGTCCACAGAAAGTGCTCTAAAGTGAGAAATGGGTCACCAAAATCTTAAACGGGAGGAAAAGGGTTTTTTTTTTTTAATCTTTTCATGTTTGCCTTTTGGCCATGCACACTCTGAAAGTGAAAACGGACAGGAAGAGAGATCAATCAAATTGCAATGGCAGGACAGATTCGCTTGTTCTGCTCCCGCAGGCCCCGCCCTCCCTGCAGAACTCCTTTTCAAGTGGTCGGGGCTTTCGGGGGTGAGGGGGGGTGTTGTCGCTTTTTCATGAAGGGCATGAAAAATCTTACACATATTGATGCGAGCAGTGCCACGCTAGAGGAAGGCCGTTTCAGGCGGGTAGCTGTGTTAGTCTGTAGCAACAGAACAAAATCTGAGACCAGTAGCATTGTGAATCATAGAATCGTAAGAGTTGGAAGGGACCTCCAGGGTCATCT